GAGTATCCACCCCAGAGCATGCACACAGACACTTCAGATGTTTTGAGCACATACTCAAAGCTCTTGTTCACTCTCTTCCTCCAAGCTATGGCAAAGACAAGCCATTAATTGCATGGGCAGATGGCTATTAGGAAGCATGTGAGAACTGGCTATACCACTGCTGTGTAGGTGGAACTGATTAGATGGACCTGAATCAAAAAAAAAAAAAAAGGAACATTTCCTACATTTCCTTTGCTGCATGGTGAGAAAAGCTTTTCCCGTGTGACAGCTGCAGAAGACAATTAAAAAAAACAGCAAAATTGCTCCTCACCTCCCCTCTGAGCCAGGGTACGGGCAAGAGCACTTTAGGTCTTATATATAAATCTTTCAGCTTCAATGCTGAGCAATAAACACATGGGACAAGGATGGGGACAGGAGGGTTTGGGGTCTTCTTCACACAGGCTGGCTTGGGTTAAACATGTAACGAGACACAGGCATTATAGTACCAGAGGTGCCCACTTCTCTGCAAGCTGTCACCAAAAAAAAAACCCCCTTCCCGTTCCTCTGCCATCCCACCTTGAAGAAGCTCTGGTTTATCCATCTGACTGGCCATACTAGGGATGCTCCTTCATTATGGAAACCTCCCACCAAAAATGGCCAAAGCAAGGCTGCTTTATTTCAGCAATCTACTCGACAACAAGGGTACCTCTGGGGTTGACCTGGCTGCTTCTCTGGTGAGCGTGGCCCTAGCTGGCCAGTTTGGTAGGGTTTGCACAAGCTGGAAGTTTCCACTAGAAAGATCAGTGGTTTCTAAGTCCATGAACTTAATCAGAGCAGGCTGTGAAAGTATGTCTGCTTGGGCATCTTGCTAAACTTGGTGGTGTACTGCCAGAAGTACCTCTATTCAATGGGTAAGCTTAGCTTGTCCAGCCAATCTCAAAAAATGGATCATGTCCCAAAAAGCAGATCATGGCTGAGCCCCCTCAGAGAAACCCAGTGTCCACCTCCTCCAGCAATCACCACTGGCCAGATGGGCTGGCTTCTGCAAATTCTAGTTTTTGTTACCTTCTTGCCTTCACTTACTTTACGGGACACCTGTCTCTGTTAGGGAGATGGTTCCAGCGACAGAAAGGACACTCAAAGATGGGTGTTGCAGCACCTCTGAAGCCCTTTGATGAAAGAAATCCTCCAATTCCTGGGTGTGTGGCTTCTCCCCTTCCAGTTGTTGCTTGCTCTATCTAATCTTTCCACACACTTAGCACAACAAGCTAATGAGACCCATCTTTACTGCCACAGAACAAACTTAGAATTGTGAAATGGTGTCCTGAAATGAACTAACCACACAAAAATAAAAAGCAAAACTTCAAATCCCCTCCTCCTCCCATTAAGTTGTGTTTACAGATGGAAAGCAATAGCATTGCAAGACATCAGCACAGGGTTAAAACCTCACCTAGAATGAGATTCATGAAGAAGCCGAGTCAAAATTTTCTTTGGAGAAGATATACAACTCGGGTGGTCAATCTAAAGGCACTTTGAAGGATTATTGTCAAATACCTTATGTAGAAAAAATCATTAGCTTCATTGTGCCTGCTGTCAATATTATGCTCAAAACAACAATTCATTTTAAATGTGTAACTTCATATCAAAAACAGAAAGTCAGATATTACAGGCCAGAGACATTGGATTCATATTCCCCATCATTTCTGGCCACCGAGGCTGACGCTGCAGCAGCAGCCTGCCCTCAAAAGGCCAGATATCAAAAGTGCACTGAGCAGACCCGATGGGCTACAGCCCGAAGCCCTTGAGCGCCATGGCAGCTCTCCGCGGGATTCCCTTCCCATCTGTCACCCATCTACCCTCACTTTCACCCGGACTCAAGACCAGCAGTAACAATCAAGTCATGGAAACATCAGAAATCACTGTGTCAGCCTGTGGACAGCCTACTTGTCGACTTCCCTTGCAACCTGGTTATTTAAGCTTTAAAAACATATTAAAATAGTGAAGGAATAAAGGATAGACTTCTCTGTTCCAGAACCAGCTGCACACAGGGAAGTGAGAAACAGGGATGACAGATGGACACAGATGTGAGCACAGTTCTCAGGAAGGTTCTTGAAGCAATTACCTTACAAATGTGGCTCAAAAAAGTGTGTAAAGCCTCACCTCCCCTTAGTACTACTTGTCTTGCATTTCTGATTGTAAAGAAAGCACACATTTTGTGCTGTATGCTAGACTCCACAGTTACTTCACAGAAGGAAATCAGAAGACAAGCAGGTAAACGTTCTCCTTGGCACAGACCAGCGCTGGAAGTGGTTTCACCGTTCATCACCTGCTGCCACGCTCCAAGGGAAGCCGAGGAACACCAGCCATTCTCAGAGTTGAAAATTATACAGGGAGTCTAGTCTATGTGGTAAGGCCCAAGGCATGAAAACGATGGTAATGGGGCTTGCAGGAACTCAAGGGGGCACATAAGGTCCTGAGCAGCTGGTCTCCATAGCAGTCCTCCACAGAAGAATCATGCTCAGTGCTTCTCCTGTTGTCCCAATGACAAGCTGTCGGCCGAAAGGGAAGGTACCTGGAGTTCTTCACCTACAACTGGTGCTGTCCCAGCACGGGTTTTTTTGCTGGACAGACACGCATCTCCAGCACTGAGATCTGTTTCAACCGTATATAGAATGTGCGTGTGAGCGCTGCAGATCTGTTAACCTCTCAGCTGAAAGGATGAAAAGGAATCACAGAATCATTAAGGTTGGAAAAGACCTCTAAGATCATCTAGTCCAACTGTTAATCCAACATCATCATGACCACTAAATCATGTTCCAAAGCGCCACACCTACATGTTTTTTGAACACCTCCAGGGATAGTGACTCCATCATCTCCCTGGGAAGCCTGTTCCAATACTTCACCACCCTTTCAGTAAAGAAATTTTTCCTAATAGCTAATCTAAACTTCCCCTGGAACAACTTGAGGCCATTTCCTCTTGTCCTATCATTAGTAACTTGGGAGAAGAGACCAACACCTACTTAACTATAAACTCCTTTCAGGTAGTTGTAGAGAGCAATGAGGTCTTGTCTCAGCCTCCTCTTCTCCAGACTAAACAATCTCAGCTCCCTCAGCCTCTCTTCATAAGACATCTTCTCCAGATCCCTTTCCAGGGCCCTAGTGGACCTTTCTAGACACTCTTCCTTGAGCCTGTAGAGCTGCCAGGGTTTGTTGTGACTGAAGGGGAAGGTGGAAGGCCGAATTCAAAAACATAAATAATTTAAATAATGGGGAAAAAAGAGAAAGGCCATACGAAAAGCAATAACCAGGTACCTTTTCCAAAGGGTGACACCATCACAGCGCCAAAAGCCTGCTTGGACTCCCCTGAAGCACACACAAGACCATCAAGAGGCACACGAAGTTATCTGGCACTTTGTTATTCCGGGAAACATGTACTGACATCTCCCACGTTCTGCAAAGGCTTGTTGTTTTGCAATTTACTGTTTTTGTTGCATTTGTTAGGATTAACAACCAAAATTCTGAGCTAAAAATTGAAATGAGCAAACACCTTGTCAGGATTTCACCCAATTTCTCTCTAATTTATGTGGGCAGTAAGCTTTTATGATGTCCTTAGCGAGTCACAATTCTCTGCTTTTTATATGTCTGGATTTTGTAAATATGTTCTTGGCAAACACAGAGGTGTCATGGGAACCGAAACTGCTTTATAAAGTGATCTACTTTTGGACACCGCAACCAAACCGAGATGAAGAAAACTATACAGTTTTCAGAACATCCAGCTGATGATTCACAATATCCAAATAACACTCCTGATTCATCCTTTATGAAAAGAGCCCAATTCAGCCTGGCACTCCACGACCCTTCTCAGAAACTATTAACTTTCATATTAAAATCACTAAAGGAGTTTTTATGGCATAATTCAAAATTTGTATAGATTCCTACAATTAAAAAAAAATTACCATTAAAAGAAGTATTTCCAGTTTTCACTCTTTCTTTCCAGATGGAAATTCTCAAGAGCATACAAGTCACACTCATTTATGTCTGAAATTCAAGATGTATACACAAATAAATTAAAAATCTAATGAAAAAAATAATTTCATTGAATCACCCATGCAGATGCCAATCTGAGCAACTTCAGTTGCTGCTGAAACAGAACTGGAAATGGATTTTTAGTTAAATCTTCTGCTTTCACATAGAAGTTTTGCCGAGAAGTTTATAGACCGAAGACTTAAGTGGGGAAAAAGAGCCAGTGACTGCCATAACCAAAAAGAAAGCAGTGTTCCCCAATCAAGTCAAACAATACTCAAGAAAACATGCTCATCCAAAGTTAGTGGTGAAACCGAAATATTAAGCTTACATTAATTTATGAAGATCCAGTCTAAACTGGCGGCAACTTGCATAATTTTTTTTTTTTAAATAATTGCAGAATCATACAAGAGTGGAAGAACTCCACTGCAAATGATAACAGTTGACAGCTACTGACACACTAAAGTATCCAAAGCACACAAGGTCAGGAGAGGTAAGAGACAATCTGTTTTGGCTAAGGCAACTAAGTAAAGACTGTAAAGGATTCAGACTATGTCTTACAGGTCTGTAATAAGCAAGTGTTAAACGAAATATTTCTAAATTAATATAACTTTTAAAACTCGCAAGAAGTACCACTGCTTCTACAGCATCATACATTTGGAGGCAGAATTACATTTAAACATGTTCCAGTTATACTCCCAAGGTGTCTACTGCCTATTTTTATAATATTCCTAGAAGGGATTCCATACAAACCCCAAGTCTGACGTCTCGCTTGCAAAATAGCACAAAGCCTTTTCTGGAGGTAAAGTAATCTATTCATGCCAGAAAGGGGTCGTTTCCATTTCCTACATCTAAGTACTGCAGCAAACCACGTGTGTGCATCGTGTTACACGAGAATGAACGTTATTCCAAACTCAACAGCTTCCAAATTTCTTTATTGTTTTCACAATTCCAAAAAAGGATGATTCACAGAGCCCTTGTCTTTGTGTTTGCCTTCAGCTCCCCTTTCAAAGTGCAAAACATTTTCACGAACAAGTACTCAGCCAGCTTTCCCCTCTCTAGTTGGCACTAGTTTTTCCTGCAGTAGTTCTTCTTCCTTCTTCTTGAGAAGCTTTAGAAGGTATTCATCGGGCTCAATTCCTGCTTCCCTTAGCTCTGACATGGCTTTTTCCAAGCGGTGCAATGTACGGGCACCCTGCACCTTTCGAGCAGTGATGTACAGTGTAAATTCCTTGAAGCCAAGCAGTTTACAGGTATCCACCTCGCAGATGTTTTTAACATCTTTGGTTTTGTCCACCTGTGGAAAGAAAACTAAACCCGACATTTTTTCCAGATCTTCAATATTTACTTGGAAGTCAGTCAGCTGATGACTGAAGCCTATGGGATCGTTTGGCACCACAAAAGCCCCCAGTACCAAGGGCTCTGTAGATGTTCTGCTTCGTCTGGCAAGGACCACCTTGTACAGGTGGGATGGCACTGCCACATCATCCTTTCCGATCACCTGTCAAAAGGAAAGTTATGTTACAGATATGTATCTTATCGGTTGAAGGGGAAAAAAAAAGGATATGAGACTAATCCTACTGCCTCTAAAAATGAGCACCTCACTACACATCAATGTGCAATGTTATCAGACTAACTGCTGAGGGGGAAAGCACCATCTCTTTGCAGTTCCTTATATAGCTGGTCAGGAATGAGATAGTTATTTGACACATGAATATCTCTCTCAAACAGGAAAAGCAGGGCAAAGAACACTTTACTGCAGGGTGTTTTGGCCACTGTCGGGAGGATACTTTCCCAGAAGGTTCTCTGCCTTTCTCTTACGACACCACTGACTTTGTATTACACTGTTAAGAACAATGGTGCAGCAAAAGGTCAAAAGATTAGTCGGTAATTGCCTAAACATTTGTGAAGAACTGTGAAAAGGAGCTCTGGTAGAGGAACAAACTCAAATGTCCCAAGCAGACGCAACTTCTGTTACAGCTGAAACTGAACTGGAACCAAATTTGAAAAACACATTTGGGAACCGGGAGTCATCCAAGACCTCAGTTCCCTCATCCCGGTGCAGATCTGACCTCAAGTGATGCTGACCTCAAGTGATGCCAAAGCTCCTTTCTCATACTGCATCACATTGTTAATGCTTTGAAAGCCATTTTCAGTAACAGTGGCTCTATACTAAGTTCCTAATCCAACCATTCCAAATCACATATTTTTTAACATGCATTTCAAATCAACTCTAACTTACCTTCAGTCAGTTATTTTTTGGATTACCGTCAGTTTTATTTTCTATTACCTATACACAGGCTGTATTTAAAAGGTTGCACTATCTAAGTAAGCTGTTTTTAAGGGGCCCTGGATATGAAGAAGTACGTTCAGTGATTCAGTACCCTGGAAAAGAAGTCTATCTAAAGAAAATGCACCAATTTCTTCCCGTAAATTCACTATGATTCAACTTAGGAGCTTGTACATGTTGAGTTTCCTTCTGCGTCACACACGCCAGGATTCAGGAATTTAACTGAAGCACCATGGGGGGAGGATCAGGACTCTGAATTAATGTGAAATCTCTCAAAAAGCTCACACACGCATTTATATGGTAGACACCCCACCCTGTGTCAGGAATAAGCCCAAGGGTCTGTAACTGCTGATGATAAATGTAATCTCACCAGTGTTCAAAAAGCGATGCTCATGCATGCACTGTATTAGGGTGTTGGTTTTTTCTTCAATATTGCTGAACTGAATCTGCCATGTTAACAAAGTGTAACAGTTTTGAATAACCTTTCTGTATAACTATCCTAAAATTTGTACTTTTATTCTAATGGCAACAGAAGAAAACAATTCAGATGCCTTACAAAAACTAAAAAGGCATCCTATTTTGTATACAAAATCCAGTAATTTGGTACTATTTCCAGTATTTGCAACACCTGCAAAAGCCTAAACTGCTTGGTTTTGACTTTTTGACAGGTTTTGTTACATATGGTTAAAACACAATTTCAGAGAAAGCAGGTATTTATTTCACTCCCACAATCAACTACAGTAACTGAAAATATTTTACAAACGAATCCAGTATGTATCAGTTCAGACATGATTTGTTCATTTATATATTCAGTATAACTCAATCACAAAGGAAACGCTTCCTATGTATGCTTTATTCTGAGCATTTGGCAATTCTGCTAAAGAAAATACTTTTAAAACTAAACTTTGCCTGTGGCTACAGAACCAAGATACATTTCAGTCTATTCCAAAGATACATTTCAGTCTATTCCAATAGTTGACTCATTTCAGTTACAAATTCTTTCAGTGCTTCAAGTGTGTCGTCTACCTCTGTTGCAGTTTTTTAAGTGATTGTTCTTTAAGTCTTATGAGTTAGACCAAAACCACAAAAAGTAGCTATAGCAGAAAGGGAAACCTCTGATATTTGTTGATGTTTTGTACAATAATGTAGCAGTAATATTACTACTGTCTCTGGCAAATGGGCTCTTAGATTTCTTTACTCTGTTGCAAAATATTTTCCTCCCCTTTCCTAAATGACGCTGCTTAATGCCTTTGCTGTAGTTTTAACTTTCTTTTGGTTTTTGTTTTGCTTTTTCTACTAAAGTAATCTTGCTTATGCCACCAACCTTCTCCTAAATAAAGCTCTGCCTAGACATCTAACAGTCATTGAAACCGATAAGCAACAAATAAATGCCTTACACCAAATCTACTTTCCCCTTCGATGACGGCAGATGTCTTTATAGGGAAATTAGAGCTCCCAACTGTCAAATCACTTTGCATTTAGCATTCAGTGTGGCTGAAACCAGAGTTACAGCTCCTCGGGATCAACAGCATAAATAATCAAAACTGACTGATGAATAGGTGATTTTAAAATACACTAAGAGCCACACATCAACACACAGTTATATCGAGTGGGTTAAAACTGAATTACAAAACAGTGTTGGGAGATAGGTGGCACGAAAAGCAGAGAGCACGTGCAACGCGTTTGTGGTCGGAGGGAGGGAGCCAAGAAGCATGAACACCTCTGAGGGGCAGAGGAGGAGGCTCACATTTCCATATTCACCCAAGTGCAGGCAGCGGCTGGCGCTGCTGAAGGCAGGAGGCTGGGGTTCCTTTTCTTCCCCTGGAGCAGGTAGCTCCAAGATCCCACCGCCTGCACACCCCGAGGGCAGGGCAGAAGGGAAGGCAGAGGCTGCCCGCAGCTGCCCTGTGCCCCTGAAGCCATCACAGCCTCCTGAGAAGGCAGTAGCGAGACTAAATCTTGGTGCCCAGACTCTTGCTGGGCCAACACTCTCCTGACCCGCAGCACTCCTGCACTGTAAGGGCCACAGTGCCGTTTCCAGGCCTCTTCACATACTTTTTTTTTTTCCCCCACGTGTATGTGTGCTGGGTCTTCCTCAGCTCAGCTCCCTCCTCACCACCTCCCACACAAGTACACAAAGCAGCCTCCTCTGTCTGCTGTATAAAAGATTAGAGGAAGGGCGAACACAGAGATGGAGCTGCGATACGTATCTCCAATTAGGGGGTACATGGCATCTGTAAAACAAACAGGTGAACACCTGCTGAGCAAGCGAGCAGAGGGAACAGGGGACTGAGTCTGAGGACGTGAGTGGGTAGACAGAAAGGCTGGGGAATGAATAGAGCTGCACACGGAACAGGTAGGTATGAAATGGAAATGCTTGAATGCCTGAAGTGGGCGTTAAGGGAAAACAGACCCTCTGCTTATGTAATATTATGCAAATATATATATATTCTATGTAAAATAACACACATTTTTGCATAGTATACGCACCTATGAAGGAGGGAAGGAAAGGAGGAAAGCAAGAGTTAGTTCAAAATGAAGGAAGGGTTGGCCTTTTGCAAAATGTAGTTCTAAACACAACTCTACACAGGCAATGGCTGTACGTTTAATTTATGTACTACTTCACTTTCACATAAACTCTCTTTTGAGGATTTAAATAAAAACTAAGTAGTGCACAGGCTTTACATCAGTCCTCTGAACAGCAGTAAACTACTTCTGTAATTACTTCACTGAGTTCTAATCCTGTTAAAGTGATTAAAACAAACTTTAGCTTGCCAAACAGCCAGAACCCTCAAGTGTCCTTTCCTTACACAAAACAGGGCAGAGAAGCTCTATTCCCAGCTCATTCTGCTGCAGGAGAATACCACCAGAGGCAGGTGCTTGATTTCTCTGACAGAGTAAATATAAATACACATGACAAAAAAATATATGGTTTTTTTCCACAGTTTAACACTTATGTGAATCACGTACAGGATACATCATGAATAATAAATGTAGCCAGTGTGGCCCAATGATTTCTGTTATGAAATGAAATGCAGCTCTGGAGTACATCATAATATTTCCATCATTATGCTGTGTAACATACCACAATTTGTTTTTTTTTTTATGAGACTAGATACAGAAGCAGCAGATGAAGATTTCTACGGAGTTGCCCACACACACATCTCAGCAGCCAGGGAAAGAAGGAAAAGTGTGGTTCTGTGGAAGTGAAATTTGCAACAGAAGCAATAGGTAGGGAAAACAAACTCAACAATTCATTTCCTATTGCCACCTAGAGGATTCTCCTACCTAACTACAGCAGCCTGAATCACGTTCCTGATCTTCGCCATCCCATTTATCTCAGTAGATGCCTAACAGAGGCAGATAGCATATGCTCTATTGCAAGGGACCAGAACAGTGGTTAAAATTACACATGCACAGATAGTGACTTTGATTTGTGCTAGTCTGTCCGTAGGCAGCAAATGATCTTTCAGCAATCAATGCCTGAAACAAGCTCTCTGTCCCAGCAGGAGAAGAGCAACAGCTTTTATTAGTATCTGTGATTTAAAAAGATAAAAACTCATACAAGTAAGAAAACACAGCAATGGCCTGATGCTTTCACACCATGTTGATAACAGGCCACGAGGTTAATTTATGTACAGTCCTTTGAAAATTTCCATTTTTCTATTTCTATAAAATTTTGCTTAGTCTTTCAGATTTTCAACAGCTTCATAACAGCAAAAAAAGAAAAAAGCACTCAAGCTAAAAGCTTTCTTTTTTATAGTATTAAATATATTCCTTTCCCACCACCATTTGGGGAACCAACTATTTCTCTTTGCTCTCTGCATCAGTTCAACATGAAAAAATGTTTGTCCTAACTTTTTGCAGTTGCCTATTCCTTTCGACTTCGCTCATTTTCTTTGGTGATGTGGTGCTGCCTGAAACCCTACGGCTGAACTGGCGTAGTCTGATAACGTAACATTATGATGTCATTTTCACCAGAGTATTTGCTGGTTTTTATTATTATTGACATTCCGTGTGTATAAACTTGTTGCACTTCTCAATGTCCCATTAAACGTGGACAGCTGTCATGAAGACAGGCCATTAAAATGCGTGCACTTCCTGACATTTAGAAATGTTTACATATTGCTAAAACAATAAACGTGTTGGTAAGCAGTTTTACAAACTTGAGGAGCTCACAGGGACAGATAAAGCAACATGATTTCTTAAAG